CGTAATTGTTCATCATCATATTATTATTATTATTACGATCTGTACTGAACTAGGCGCCTACTGTCAAACGAACACTACCACATCTGGTTTACATTGTCACGACCTACTGTAGTTAAAACCTCTTCTCAGCATCTCTCATGAACCCATCCAGCCATACAACACGATCGTTCATTTGTTTAGTTTCTACGGCTCCAATGAATGGGACGAAATATTGTCATATAATATAAACGTCATGATGGCGGCGATCAGCTGGCACGCTTCCAGGTGTAGGTAGGTAGGATGTAATGAATGAATGAATGTCTTATTCACCAGCGAGGTTTTGACGACCCCCCCGTGGCCAGGGAAATACTAACCTGTGTCAATGTGTTTAAGCGGCCCACCAGTATGATAGGGATAAGCCTTGTTTTACTGTTCGTTTTAATTACCAAAAGCCGAGTTTACAGTCACTGGACACTATTGAGAAAGAAGAAAAGGGAGGACGAGAGAGAAAGAACTGGAAATTCAGAACTCACTCACTCACTCACTCTCCCGCTCGCTCCATGGCCACACCCTCACACGTGCAGCCATTGTGCAGTGATACAACGAGTGAGAGTTAAACAGAGAGGGTGAGGATAATACAGGGTCGGTAACACGGGGGGCACACGGACCTACTGTAGGTGGGAGAGGAGAGGAGGGGTGGAACAAATTAAATGTCATTGAAACGCGAGAGCAAAGATGTCCGACTCACTATAGGTTACTTGTTGAGTCATTAAATAAATCTGAGCCCCACTGTGATGTTTCCTCACGATAAAATAAACTTGTCAATGTAGCCTCCGCCTCTTCCTCCTCCTCACAGCCAACCATGGTCCATCCCCGTATTTTCTTTATTAACTCATGAAATAATACTTTTAATTTGTACATTGCTTGTCGGTCAGAAAGACAAAATAGCACCAACCCATAAATATATACACACATGAAAGGGCAGGGGGGTGTGTGGGTGTGTTAACTGGACAGGTGCCAGGTAACTACTACACACTTGCATCTGGGACTTGGCCACCATCACTTCATTCAAGTATACATTACCCACACAGTCATGAACCACCACCAAGTATTTAAAGAGCACACGCACACAACTATAGTTAAGTCACATGGTTCTAACCACAATTACCAGTTATGGGTTAGCGTGGTATTAAGCCACTGGATCATAATCACAAGTACTCTTTATGTTCCTCAACTTTGAGCGTGGTTTACCTGTCACCTCGAAGTCCTGATTATTCCAATGTTTTTTACTCGCTTTAGTTCCTGGGGATCACTTCCCAGAATGCTACGTAATATAATAAATAAATACCTAAGGTTTATTAAATATGAGAATGAAACAGGTGTGATCATGTCCACTGAGACCCAGATAAGAGACCTCAACCAGCTGCTGGAAGACTGCCATAACCGTGATCCTGACACTCTGCCAAACAGCTGCTTCACACAAAATTCAACGACTTTTCCACTTCTGGTCATTTATCACGACAGGATTTTTTCATGATCTTCCAAGGCCACGGGGACCTAGTATATACTGTATATGTATATTATATAAATTGCTGTGATCTGCGAGGGTGAGTATAACGTTGTGACACTTCACGATTCGGTGCATAAAAAAGCCACCAAAACAATCCTCGAACAACGATCTTACCAGAAACCTTTAAGCAATGAAAATTCACAGGAATCTCATCGATTTCCTCTTTCTATAGATAGTTCTAGTGTCCTGACAAGCTACACTCACTCAGCCACACACACACAATCGACCCACGAGGGCATCTGGGAGGGCACTTCTTTTTTTTTCATACACTCTACCTCAGTGTTTTACCTATGTCATATACCATACATCCGGTTTCAAAATATTTCCATCTCTGACAAATGTACGATGACACGGTGAATACTGTACAGTATATATCTCACGACACACCTCATCTCGTTCTGCGGTTTATACGTTACAATAAATCGAAAAGATGAGTCACTACACAAATTAGCAACCATGTAAACAACAACTCTGGCAATATTTATACGCACATTTTCAACGATCAGACAGTTTTACTTATTCGTACGCAAGTTGTTTATATCTAACAGCAGAAACTCTTCCTCCACCACTGTCTTCAACATCTATGAAAGGCATTGTTACATAATATTGTTTAAGTTCTCACCTGGATCATTACAAGGCCCGCAGGACCACCCGTTAAAATGGCCTTCTTAGTATTACATTCTTCTGTACAGTACATTAAATAGAGCAAATCTCTCTCATTACATATATGTGGGGGAAAAATCCTGCGAATGACGTGGTTTGCTCAGCTTCGTTTGTACATAACACAGGTGCCTACTTTACCTCGGGACACCAAAATTAAAATTTCAAGATATACTACAATGTATAACTCAGCTACGCTTAGCTTGGTTAGGTTACCCTACACTTGTCTTGATTTTAATTATACCAGGCTAATAAACCGAGTTTAACAACTATATTACATCAGCCACCAGAAGTTACTGATTGACGCCAAAATGGAAGCACGGGAAACCGAATGTGTGTTGGTTGACAGCGAGAGGTTTACGTGTTGTGCGAGAATTTAATTAAATTGAAACAGTTTATTTAGCCAGAAACACAGATACAGGGTGGATAATAATAACTATATTAACATGGCTGAGCCAGTTGAGAACCTGGGCTCTCTTTTAGGAACCTGATATATACTATACATTTATCTCAAGGAAGTATTATGTAACATTTAGTAACATCTGGAATAGTACAATAGCATGGTGGTATTAAGAACATCTCATAATGTTTTGGCCAAAAATACTTTTTCTCTCTGAACTAAAATTTAATGTGCCTAACTATTTAAGTACATCCAGAATAATACACAAGCACCAAGAAATGACCTCGAAAACCCATAAGTGGCGAGTAATTAGCATTGCAAAAGTAATTAAAATATTCTAAAAATCATTTGAACATTTTCTAAAAGCCATTTGAACAAGTTATAATCAAGATATCAAATTTTGGTTAACAGATCCTTAAGCAGCACATTCAGGAGTACCTATACTGAAATTTTGAACAAAATCCATTTTTTGGCCGAAAATGACAAAAATTTATTTATTTTATTTATTTATTATGACTTTTTAGTTTATTTTTTTTATTTATATTATAAGTATATACATAAATTACAGAGGAATTGAAAAACATAAGTACAATGGGGGAGCAGTACAACATGGGTAATAAGGTTGAACAAGAGGACAGAGCTGTCAGGATTATGTCTTGTTGGCAAATATGTTTATTGCAATGGTAATTTCTTACCTATTAACATGATAATTTCCGATAAAACGGTTTTGATGGTACAATAAAAGCAGTTACTGTAAATATAGTAGGTATTACAAGAAATATTAATACTTAGACAATAGAGGAAAACGTCTCAAGATTTATCAGTTTTTCTTCAACACACCTAATAAATTTCCCTGGAGCCTCATCAACTGTCCTATTTATTTCCTGACGAATACTTCTGCCTTGAGTAATTGTATTCTATGAGCTTGACAGGTAGGGACACCTGAGAATTAGCACCCCAAGCTTTATTTCACTTGAAGATTAACCATCCTATCGCTACCTAGGGAGGTTAGGTTAGTATTATGGTGATCAAATTCCAGGTAAAATAAACTGATCTGCCAGGTATAATATCATTTGCTGATCTCAAATAAACATAAGAATTTATCCCACACGACTAACACGCAGCCCACATCCACACGCCCGAAATACGTGTTTTTATGTTCTTTAAAACACACGCGCACCTACACCAAAGGCTATTCAACTAACTTGAATAGCTATCTTCCCTCTCCAGACGAAAATAAGCTGAGGGAGAGGGTAATATTCAGGTAACCTGTTGACGGATATCCCAACTCAATACGTACCGTAATTCAGAAGAAAGGTGAGTACACTGCTTCCCACATGTCGGGGTATCAAATAAAGCAGTGTTCAGTCACTCAAAAAACTATCTTTACAAAAGTGTGTTGAGAAAATGACAACGGACGAAGGATTTTGACAACTCTACCGAGACAACAGGTGTCGTAGTGTTCATTCTGAAATTCATCACCACCTCCCCAGTAGAGTTTTTTGAGTGACTACAATTACTGTATGTAAAAAATGGTATATTCACTACACATTATTACCTCTCAACAAGAATAATGCATCAGCGGAATAGTATGTGCATGAGGGCGTCTTGTGTTGCTATAATGGACAGTATGGACTTCAGGGAAAACTTGACCCAACACTTACGCCCGTATTATTAAACAACATCTTCCCTTGAAGAGGGTCGTCGTGTTTCAAACCGAGTTTTAAACTAAATAAGTCCTGAGGGATACCGCAGGACAGTACTTAACGGGATGGTGTGGCGGTAAAATGAACTAATTCTAATATTATAAATAAATTTTAATGGAATTAGTTAATTTTACCGCCACACCACCCCGTTAAGTACTGTAGTGTCCCTCAGGACTCCTTTAGTTTAAAACTCGGGTTGAAACACGACGACCCTCTTCAAGGGAAGATGTTTATAATACGGGCGTTAGTGTTTTAATTCAGATTAACTGTAATTGGCACAGTTTTTAGTTCTTTTCGAACGAACGCCTGAGTACTGCACTGTTCCTCGAAGACCGTATCACCGGGACAACATTATGACAACCTACACAACGTAATAAAACAATGTTAAGCTTTAACCTCCTAAGGGAGTTGTACAATATTAATTTCTCCGCGCCAGCCTTACTGAAGGAGTGGAACGGATCAGCTGTTCAGCGTCACGTGATGACCCACATCCCAACGTCTCTCCAATACAAGTGCGCCGCTAATATCCCCCCCCCTCTCTGACCCCACCCCACCAACTCCCCTTCCCCCTCACCTACGTTGCGACGTGTGGCATCCCTTCCTCCCGCAGTGAGTTGCCTATTGCTGGCCGACAACTGTGGTATAAAACCAGCGCGAATCCAAGGGAGATTCAGCTTGAATCGAAGCGTCGAGGATACGTCCACGCAACATTCGAATCTACTCCAGAGGCTACCACTGAAGAATAACAGATGACTTACAAGGAAAATCAATTACTAATGATAAAGAAGTACACAAAGCTTCAATGAACACACTCAGCCCCAGTGATTGTGATAAATTAAGAGACAATGCAGGAAAGATCTGTTCAGTTAGTGAATGTAGGCTCCTCCCAGTGAGTCATCGGTGAGTGGAGCGGCTGGGATCCAAGTGTAGACGAGGACCCAGTCCTCACAATTGTACGTAAATATCGTCTTTCACACCCTGGACATTTACCAAGGACAATGTTTAACATTATGAGAACACAAGTTTAATTTGGTGCGGACAATAAGTTTAAATACGGGGATCAAACCATCCTTAAGAATTGTCTTCACCCTAGTAACAAGTGCACCACTAAAATAATTTGCTCAACGAGACCGTGATATGTTCAATAATTTCGTCGGTCTAAGATCATATAAAACACAATCCTTCCTGAAAATTTTCCCAAAAGAATATTCCTACTATGTTAGAGGAGTACTCTTTCGTGCAATTAAAATTTTTAATATGTTGACACAGACATCCGCACGACGCAGGCACAGGTTTACGTCTAACTGTTTCATGTTGTGACAACAATTCAGTAGTCCAGATAATGGAAACTTCTTGTGTGGATATGGCTGAGACCTAACTCCATCTGTAAAGCTGGTGACCACATCAACTAGTTGTATAGTGTTCTGTGTTGCTGCCATTACATGTCAACCGATGCTAGTTTATTATCTGTGTGTGTGTGTGTGTTTTATTTTGTTTCAAAAACACAACATTCCTAATGCCAACACACACACTGAGCACCGGGTGCATCAGCTCGACTGCCGTTGCACAGGCCAACTGATTGTCCACTCTAAAATAAAAGTTACCAGTGTAAACATACCTCGCAACATTAATATTACCGTGGTTATGATCTGAGGTACACATGCCTCTACGTCCCCAGTATACGTGACATCTAGGGACACAATACTCTGTTCCATGAACCTCAAGTCTCGTGTGCCACTGCTGCATGACCTGGGGTGAAGGTGCCACGACCATTGTTACCAACACACTCCACACCACCACGTGTTTCTTACTGTGGATTACGGTACTCCTCCCCCTCTGTGTGTGTGTGTGGTGGAGGTAGTCTGCCCCAGCACCAGCGTGTATTATAAGACCCTCCCTCCCACCATCCCTGTAGCGCCGTCAGAATTACATCGCCCAAACATATCATTATGGCATTATTCGCATTATTACCCCCCTCCGCTACACTAGTTTTTCCTACCCAGGTTCACCAACGCACACAGCCACCCGCTTTCACCAACCCCGAAACTCGAATTCCATTAATTTACATTTTTTTTCTTATTATTCGATTATATTACAAAACCACCAGTCTTAACCTACGGCTGGCTGCTGTACAAGTGTGCGTCTCTCTCGTACTGTTAATGAAGGTGAGAGATTCGGAAAGAGAAAAGACAGTCATGGTTGTTGGTCAACCTGGGAGTATACACCACCAGGTTCCCACAGTAGTGTATAATTTATTGAGTGGGTGAAACTCTTCTCTGCCCCCGCAGCTTTGTCTCTCAGCAAGCTTCCAGGTAAAATAAGACAGGTGACGATACACTGACGCACAACATATCCTCTTAACAACCCCAACAAATTGCCTTCGCAAGCGAGATGTCACGGGTTCGATTCCCAGGCCGGTGGAAGTTGTTTGGACATACTTCCTAGCCCCAATTGGTCTCTGTTCACCTAGCAGTAAAGTAGGTACCTGTTGTTAATCGAAAGTTGCGAATTCGTATTCAGGGACAAGTTGTTGGAGCTTCCAGTAACTTCATGACATTAACCACTGACTCTTCAGGCTTCTACGCCCTTAACTCATGAGACAAAGGCAAGCATGAACTTAGCATGCTTCCCTGTTGGGCACTGTAAACGCTTCTGCGCTTCACCTTACACAAGGATGTAGGGGAGTGCCCAATAAATAATAAAAACAAAAATTCCTCCTTGAAAATATCAACAACTCTCCATGATAATTTTTTCTGTTAACTTGACCGTCTCAAGGTCAGGGTGTTGTACTTGAGGTTCCACTTACGTTACTTTATTTTTTGCTAATGACTTTCGCTTGTAAATAATTGTGTACCCAACATTGCTGTATTTTCCAAGTGCGTACAGTCGTTAATTCATCATAGCCAGCGTAAAGCGAGTCGAGCTTCTTTTTTTTTTTACACACTACACAGTAACAACACAGAGGGGTGTATAACGTAATTATTTCAGAGAATAATAGAATCTCAAGAAGATTAGGAAAACCAGCTAACCTAACCAAACCCTGGAGATTTACGTTTGGGTGTTTTAATCATTCCACGTGCCTAGTTAGTCTTCATGAGATCCGTAAAATAGCTTCTTCTTTACAACCCAACTGTTGTGTATATCTTATTAGTCCAGCAGGGGCCAATTATACTTAATACCTCTGATCAGATTAATGTATCAATACACTATCTGTATACCAGCCGTCCACACCGCCCCAGCACCCCCCTCACTCACGCCTACATCCTATTCTCACCCACATCACACCACTCACCCTAGTTCACCCACATATATCTCTCTCTCTCTCTCTCTCTCTCTCTCTCTCTCTCTCTCTCTCTCTCTCTCTCTCTCTCTCTCTCTCTCTCTCTCTCTCTCTCTCTCTCTCTCTCTCTCTCTCTCTCTCTCTCTCTCTCTCTCTCTCTCTCTCTCTCTCTCTCTCTCTCTCTCTCTCTCTCTCTCTCTCTCTCTCTCTCTCTCTCTCTCTCTCTCTCTCTCTCTCTCTCTCTCTCTCTCTCTCTCTCTCTCTCTCTCTCTCTCTCTCTCTAACCTGCACCAAAATGCCCAAAGCTGCTTGTGAGAATGTAAATATTTGATCACCTAAAGATTAGACACACCCAGCCTATTTCACCGGATGATTAAACACCCTAATGCTTTGGATTGGAGGGGGGGGGATGTTAGGTTTAAGTTAAGGTAGGGTAATTTAAGTTAGGTTTAGATGAGATTAAATTAACCCTAATACTATCTGGGGGGAGTAGGTTTAAACTAGGGTGGGGTAGTTTAGGTTAGGTTTAGATTAAATTAAAGTGGGGAAGGGCAGGTCAGGCAATCCTAAGTCAATAAACAGCGCCAAACTTCCCCCAAGGTCACACAGATATGAATCCAAATGACGTCACGGGAGGAAGATCGACATTGGTTTGTTTACATCAAGCTGGTGTAACAAACAGACCCGACTCAAAGACCGCCAACGCACGTCCTCACTTACGCCCATTTCTCACGCCTACCCATCAACTGGGGTAAATTACACGCCGCCCCATCCGTTGTGCACTAAAGCCAATTATTTTTTTTCCTGATTAAGAATAAAAGACTATAGAAAGCTTCCTGTCTCCGGCCTTAAAAATGTTTTATGTGACCGTGTGAATTGTTTTTACACCTGCCCATAATGTTGACCCAATAATAAAAAGGAAATACATGAAATATGAACTGAATAAAAACTAAATGCATAATAGGTATAATACACTATGGTTCGGAAAATTTCACCGCTATACTGTGAATGCGGGAAACACTTTTTTACGTAATACTAATTGAAACTGTCAAATGGTCAGTGAAAATAAACCTTTATATAACAATTCAAGTTTTGTTCTCAACCTACATCTATATAATAGCAAATAAGTATTAATACAATAAAGTGTCCAATGCCCCCCCCCCATACTAACGTGGTAATTTTATGAACCACTCTGTATCTTTTGAACTGCAACATGATACTGTACAATGCTGACCAGGGTCCACCTACCCACATACTGACGGGATATGTACTGTTATGTAACACTCAATAATATACTACGTGAGGGTGAAGATAACCAAGTTACTTTATTTTAATTCTAATATTTCTTCTTTTCTTTTCTCGTGTACTATGAAACAGCAGGTACAGCCGGACGTAAGAACACGAGTTGTATTTAAAGACTCCCTCCTGCGGGCCCATAAAAACAAGAATGTTGCTCACAACTATAACATCCGTTTCCATGAATTGCTTCCGTTTTTCCTTACAAGGATAATCACTGACCTTGAACAAACCGGACACAAAACGTCATGTTTAAACATACATACAATCACGCGCGCGCACGCAAGAACACGCACGTACGCACATTCTAGATATTCCTAATACAGTGTTTATCGTTATGTTCAAAGACCTTAAGGTAAAAAAAAAATATTCTTCAACATGACCCACTATTACAGCGCCTACATCTACAACCCCCTTAAGCTCTTTATCCCAAGTCTCAAAATATTCCTAGAAAAAGTGTGAGGAGAAATAATTACAAGTGAGGGACCCATATACATGTCGACCAAAACTCTCCAGTTGCAAAGACGATAACCAAAGATAAAAATACCCTAACATGACCGTATTGCAAGGTGCACATCACCCCAACCCAGAATGTTTGTGCCACGTTCGAGATGTTTCGTATAAAACTGTAGATTGGACACTACAAAGCTTCACATTATGATCAGGTCCAACACTATGACCCCCACCACTAACAGGAACATATAAATGAATCAAATAGCTTCATAACCAAATCAGATAATCCATGGATGCATACAGATAAGCCTACCAGACTCTGTATGTCAAACAAACTGGAGTGGGTCGTATGAAAATCAATATTCTCTCCCCTCCTCATGCGCAGTGGACCGTAGAGTCCAAAACAGTATGACCAGTTTCATTACTTCATAAAACACACACACACACACGACACACACACACACCAATAATTACTTGAGCTCTAACATCTTAAAATATATACCATTCAGAATATAAACAAGACAGGTGATGCCAGTCTTGTACGGTACTTAACTACCTAAACTTCTGAAGATACGCAAATTAATAAACAAACAATGAAAGTGTTGTGTGTTTACAGCACTTCAAAACATTTAGATAAGGTGAAAAAAGAGAAGCGGTGTTATAAGCAACTACTGTTATGGAGATATTGCAGGGCGTGGAGGAAGTGGTGGTGACGGGATACAACATCTAGGCACTGCAGGCCGTACAGGGTGTGGAGGAAGTGGTGGTGACGGGATACAACATCTAGGCACTGCAGGACCGTGGAGAAAGTGGTGGTGACGGGATACAACATCGATATACTGCAGGCCGTACAGGGAAAAGTGTTGGCAGAAAGCAACATTGGGTCATGATCAGGACAAATAATATGGTTTTCTCAACAACAGGTCGACAATGAAGCAAAGAATTGTACTTACTCCAACAGTCACTGGCAAGGACCCCACACTGGGGTACGGGGCTTTATTCCACTGTTACCAAACAAAACACAACTAGGAGGGGAAAAATTGACAATGGGGGCAGCAGCTCAGCGGGTGAGTAAGGATATGCCACAATAAAGCTACAGGCGGGTGGTCTTGGCGCAAAGGAGGGAGACTGTTAAGCGTTCGAGATGAAAAACAATAAAGATCATGATAAGGATTTGTGCTAGGTATAATGGTATTACTGTATATGACGTGTTGTGAAAACAATGGCAAATATTTAACATGTGAGACAGCTATCTAATGTAAGAGCAGGACACAAGAGGAAACAATGACTGTATTATGTATAAAAATCACTGAGACGAAAAATTGTATGGTGCGTTAACAAAGCTGGAGTGGTGTGGCTCCCCTGACAGCTGTTTCATCAGGGAAAGTGTTGTTTAGGTAGCAATAAAACATGTTTTGTTACGTGGTGACAGGGACATGTTGGGCAGTGATAAAGACAAATGAATCAGTAACTGACAAGTATGTTGTGTGGTAATGCTACCATGGAGCAACGTGTAGTGACCGACTGTAGTGTTGTGTGATATCAATGTTAGACGTGTTATGGTGACAGACGGGTGTCATGTGACAATGAGAGGGTGTTACACGGTACTTACACTCGGTGAGGCTGGCGATGCCCGCGAGGGTGGTGACGGGCACTTGCGGGTTGGTGTTCGGCTCCCCATTCATCGTGCCCCATCACTACACCTGCAACAACACACAACCTCTATCAGTACATACCTGTAGCACACCTGACTCACGGCACCTGGACCTTACAGTGCCACCCACCCCACTACTCTCACTGCTGTAGCCCCCCAAGGGAGCCGAGCACCGTGCAATTTTTACCTGTAATAATCGCTCGGTTCTCTTACTACAATCCGCTACTCAAGGGTAACAACTGACAAGATATCCCAACATGACCGGGTTTTATCTTGCCCTTATGACACTGTTAGTATGAAGGCTACATAAACCAATGACAAATGATATAATAATTTTAAAAACAATACCTGTAGTTCCTTCCCGGGGCTCTCCTTCCCTCCTCCACTACAGCCTGGCCCATCCGGAATACTTTAAAGACAACTGTCGAACTCCCTTATGAAGACCATGTTTATCTCGTACCTGATGTTTACAGCGTGTCCTCAGGTTACTCTTTACGGCCCTCTTACTCTAACAGCCTGCCCCTGTACCGTTCCTGCCGTTCCGTACAACACACGACGGCAATACGATAAAGGACACAGGCTGGACCATTTTATTAGTAGCTTGTTACTGTTTACATATTAAAATATTAAGGGACACTCAAATTCCCTAACAAATACACAACACTGATTCAACTTTTACCAAGACTGAAGACGTGGGACCAGACACTCGAAAGCTCGTACTTTGAATGTTCCTTGCAACTAAAGATGTAATGGATCACCTGAAGAATAGGCACCCCAGCTCTCTTCACGTGATAAATAAAACACCTGAACTTTACCTGAAGAAGTTAGGTAAAGGTGTTTAATCATCATGTGGCGTAAAGTGGAGTGCCTCTATGTAACAACACACCGAACTGGTTGCCCTAAAAGCTAAAGCACAACACTTGGGTACGGCAGCTACACAAATCACGGCATAAATAAACTGTTCTACCTTAACTAAATACGTTAACTTAGCACCAGGTAAACGGAAAAAAATAACAAAAATGAATATTTAGAAAAAACTCCTCTGCTAATTCCCCTTAATTTTTGCTAAGTAAATGTATTAAGCTAAGGTAAAGTCTCACGGTGATGCTAACGTTATTTGTGGATGTTAGTTTTGTGCTTTGGCCTAAGTAAACCAATTAGGTACATTCTTACATCTTCAGTTACAAGGAAAATTTCATCATACAAACCTTGGAAGAATCCGACCCCTGCTGTACATGACTTAAGCTCACTCTCGCAAAATACCATAATTACGGACCAAGACACACACTTCCTCTTCCTGCCGATATGATGTTTGCCCGTTTGCCCGGTGTACTTTCCCTCATAAAGAATTTTTGCAATTTTGTGCGAGACAATATGACAATGGACGAAAGCTTTTGACGACCCTATCGAGACCAACAGGAGTAGCGGTGTTTATCTTGAAATCCATTGGACCCAACACTGAACGACAATTTGACTACATTATATAACACATGAAACATTACGTAACAAGCAAGATGACTGGAGCAGCAGAATGACACAGCACAACACACCACCAGAAACAAATGACGTTGGAAGATATATTGTGCTGTAAATATAGATAATAAAGTTCAACTGTTTCATTAACCATTCTATAACAGTGAACACATTCTTGGCTCAGTCTTACTGCTTTTAGATACTCATTATACGAAAAGACAAATAAAACGAAATACGACAACGTAATAAACAGGACGCCCACCACCCCACGATAGTCAGCCGTTACGAGGGGAACTACAAGTCTAAGTCGATACGGGAGAATGTCCCGGTGATGGAAGTCTTTGTTACAAGATCATTGAGAGTCAACTAATGGGAGCACCTCCAAGAGGTGATGGACCGGCTCGAGTAGGAAGAGGTGTTCACACACCGGTGTTACCGTGTGGTCCATCGCGTACTGTTACGCGGTCACGGTCATTTGTTGGGTGGCGGTGTTCCTGCCTTTTCTCGCTCAACATTTAATTTGCTAATGGGAAAAGTGGTGGTTAGGCAGCTGCCGCGTTTTTGCAGGTGTCAACCATGGAGGTATATCTCTATTCCTCCATGGTGTCAACTCCCCACTTGTTATAAAATGAATGAGCAGTCCCAGGGAAGAGGATAGAGGATACAGTAGTTGGAAAAAATACAGATTTTACCAATGTCAATGAAACCTTGTCTTATGCGTGGGAGGATGACAGCATCAGGAATGTATTCTAAAACTTACCTTGTCCATGTAGACGTGTTCTCGGATCATGATCCTTTATGTATAAAGGTTTTCAAAGACCTTTAACGAGAACGCTAACATGGCCAAGCGGAAGGCTTGTGTGTCTAAGGGCACTCGAGGGTGTGCCTCATGTGGTGGCAGCATGCAAGAAGCCCACCTCCATAATCATGAGTCACAGCTCCCAGAAAACACCCAGACATTTCACTCAGACACCGAGTCTGACGCGGGGTGACTTAACTTTCCTAAGAGTTACACACCAGTTGTTAAATATTGTTGAGGCGGTCCATAACCACGGAATACTCATCAATTATCTCGGCACAACAACGAGACACTGTCAGTTTGACAACACAGTTCACGTAACCCTCCCAAACTTGTTTCTCCACAATGGAGGACCAGACGGAAGCCCACCCCTTCTAACACTGGAAAAAGAACTCGGGGCCCCTCCAGTCGGACAGTGGCTGAGAAAACCCGCCAAAATACACACTGGTGGGTTGACCCCGAACTCTACCCTGAAGGGAAGGCCTCACCAGCCTCCGACATCTCCCTGTGTCCTCATAAACACTGTCAAGAAGTGTATGCGGATACAGCCACAGGCCTTCTACACATTTCCAGAGCAGGGCACGTCTTAGCTCCGATAAGAGGCTAACCATTTCTCAACTCACTGACAAGGTGTGTGAGCCGATGGAAAATTATCGAGTATAACATTTTCTTTCTTCTTTTAAACTTTTACTTAACTTTCAACTCCGATCGACCAATATCAATCTAGGCTTTGTTGCAGAGGTTTTGTAATTAACAACTGTGGAGCCCCAAGACATACTTGTGGCTGCTCATGTGACTGAACATGGTGAACAGTGCCACCCCCCAGAGCCCTACGTCCAGGTCACCTGAACTTGGCTACGGTGTTAAGTTGTTATAATGTTATGACTGCGCTTCAACAACGTACTGTAGGGTTTTAATCGTGTATACAAATAGCAATATTAGTACAGTAATACACAAGTCTAACAACGATAACAAATTATGAGATAGAACTGTGTGTAGGTGTTGAGTACACGTGCTCTCCGTGTTGTGGCATTGATGTGTGTACTGTACAATATTCTCTTAATATTTCACAGACTACTGTTAATGGTTTAGATTCCTGTCAGATTTATCGAGGAATTGGTGACTTCACTCTGGTGAATAGATGGCAACGTTTACTCACCAAGACGTGACAAGTATGGTAACGTGTACTAAGATTGTTCTCAAATGGAAGCCTGGCGGACTGTACGCAGATAAAGCCATGGCAACTTAAAGTAAAGAGAAACATGTCAGGAACTGTAATGGATCCCCGCCGTCAGGCGTCTGAATGTTACATGTTATTTCAATCTGATCTGTCCCAAGATGACGAAAACGTCACCAACATTATAATTTTACACCACTGGAAGCACACAGTCACTCAGTGCAAGCTGAGCTCCTTGCCGAGATGACGACAACTAAAATATGTTGATAGAATGAAATTCCTTAATATTTAAAATATTTAAAGCAGACAAGGACCCCGTTGCTTTATTAAACACTGCTGAGTTAGCTTACATGAGACTCGGAGACCTTGGTTAGTTGTGTATATTTGACGAGTAAACACAGACTTGAAGGATTAACGGTGTAAGTGGGTTACTCTCTCAGCGTTTTGATTCTGGTGCCAATAAATCTTTGGTTGAAAATGACACTCGCTCTCTCAGCATGCACAACGGAAGCATGGGTGGTAGGGGAAGACTTAAAGGTTAACTCTCAGTCTTAACCTCATCCTGTTAATGCATCAGTTCAGGTCACATTAATCAGCGTAGAATGGTTCATAATTAAGGATAATAGTAATGATAGAATAATATCTCGGCTTCTGGCTTCCCCGTGTTGACCATATTGTTGTTGTTGGCAGAATATAATGATACGGAAACTAGTGTATATTATCTGCGGCCATAGATATGAAGAGATATTTATATAAATGTCTAGTTTGTTGATAGAGGGCATTGGGGTCAAACTAACTCGTGTTATGTGTACCTGTCCTGACCCATCACAAAGAAAACCTGTAATTTTCAGGCCCATTCGCTCCATTAATGTTGTGATTCCTGTGTACACTAATTTTCGCCTCTCACCACCTATAAACACCTCATTCATGATGTGAGAACATTGGTCTCACAGACTACAATAATGTGTACAGTATATGTTTATATTAATGTAAATTTATGTATATTGTCTGGAGAACTATTGTATAACATGGTTAAATTTATTGGGGGGGGGGAAGGCACCAGGTCTGCAGATCTTCATTTACTGTACTCGCTGAACTTGTATATAGAGAGAGATCAGTGTGACTCAACATTATCTACCGAGTGCGTCCTGGCTGAAGATACCTTACATGAACCAGTATCATTTGACGTGATAAATGTTGTATAACAGAAAAAAAATTGTAACGGAGTTCCACGGAGTGTTAGCTCCGGGTATAAATGTGTTATGGTAGGTAAAGGTTTTGCAAAAGTCATCAAAACAGTGACAGAGAATATCTACGCTACGGTATAGGAAGAGCGACAAGATATCCCCGTGTGGGCGGTAAGCTTGTAATTTCTCTTTAATCTTGCGAGTGTACAGTGAAGCACCCGCGGTATATTTACTGCAGTTTAAAAGAGAAAAAGACATAACCTCATATCACTTATTTTGCTGAAATAAATTAAGAAACGTAGATACCTCCTTAAATTCTCCCTGACTAATAACAATAAGGAGTTGCCAGTAATAAATGGATGAGTATATACATGACATTAAGAAAGAAACAAGCCAACTCCCTCCAATTAATA